CCGGCCAGGCCTGCGGGTGCTGCGCCGCCGCTTGGCTTCTGAACCCTCTGCCCTTGGCCGTCTCCAGCCGGGGCAATGCGGAGGCCCTGGTCGCACTGCTGGTGCTCGCCACCCTGTACTTGGTGGAGGAGGGGAGCATAGGGAAGGCCGCAGTCTGCTATGGGCTGGCAGTGCACGTGAAAATATACCCACTGACCTACGCGCTGCCCATAGCGCTCCACCTGCAGAGCAAATGCTGCGGCGGGGAAGGGGCAGTGGGGATGGGGCATGACAAAAAAGCAAGGTTTACATTTGTGGGGTGCATCTGGCAGCTTTTTGTAAAGATGCAGAACCGTGATGTGATGCTTTTTGGAACAGTTGCTGGATCTGTGCTGGCTGCCTTGACTGTTGGATTTTATCACCTCTACGGATGGGATTTTTTGGAGCATGCCTACCTCTACCACCTGACCAGGCGGGATATCCGTCACAACTTCTCGCCCTATTTCTACATGTTATACTTAACTGCGGAGAGCAAATGGAGTTTGGCCCTTGGACTCGCAGCTTTCTTGCCCCAGCTGCTTTTGCTCCTGGCTGTGTCCATAGCATTTTACAGAGACCTTGCTTTCTGTTGTTTCCTACACACTGCTATTTTTGTGAGTTTTAACAAAGTATGCACATCACAGTACTTTGTCTGGTATCTCTGCCTTTTGCCCCTCGTAATGCCAAGTGTTAAGATGTCCTGGCGGCGTGGTGTGCTGCTTCTCTTTCTGTGGTTTGTTGGACAAGGCCTGTGGCTCGCTCCTGCATACTTTCTGGAGTTCAGAGGATGTAACACTTTTTTACTTATATGGTTGGCAGGCTTGCTTTTCCTTTGTATTAATAGCCTCATAATTGTTCAGATTATTTCACATTATCAAAAAGAAGCACCAGTGGCAAATAAATGCAAACAACAGTAATAAACAGGCCCAAATCCAGAAACAGCATTACTGGTTTTGGTAAGGCTTTTCATACTACCAGCACTTTGTTTAATATTAATGCGTGTACATTGTACTGATGTATGTTGTATGTAAATTATACTGTTTCAGGGCCATGAGGGCACTAATTGGCCTTAATTGCCCAAAGCAGCCCCAGTTCTGCCCTGAGCAGTGTCTGCAGGTATACCTGTCACCCACGTGGACCTTAAAACTGCATTGAAACCTTTCCAGCACTGTCTCCTGCTGCTCCTGACTGGACTCCCTGGAAGGACTCTGGACCCATCACTTATCATGTCTGGTCCTGTGGGTGGATGCTCTTACTAGCACCCTTCTCCACCTGCCGTCTTCAGACACAGTGTGACTGCACCCTGCTCAGTGAGGGTATGGCCTGTGCCGGGGTCACCCTCAGCTCCTGCTCATACCCCCTCATGGAGCAGCCCAAATCTTACTCCCTGGCACCCTTTTTCTCATTGTTACTTTACGTTTTGAGGACTGTGGCCTCTGTCTAGGAAAACGCAGGAGATTATAAAGGGGTGTTAGAGTTTGACAGTCATCTTCTACATTCCAGTAAGTAGGTGAGGTGTTGTGCAAGGATTAAACTAATGAATAAATATAAGGCAATCATTTAATATGTACATTGGGATTTATTTTTTCTTTTCGCAGTAACATTTTAGCTATCCAGTGTTCACGGCCTGTATAGCCTGGTCTTTCTTCAGTGAAGTAGGAAGAAAGTAGTTATTTCATACAAGTCATTAATTCCTTGAAACTTTTAAATTGTCTTAGAATTCAGATACGCTGCTCGTTCAGATACTGATTTTTGCCTTTTCCATGCTGTTTGAATTTTTGAACAAATTTATTCCCCTTGTGCCTAGGGACATGATTTCGTGGTGGACTTGGCAGTGCTAGGTTAATAGTTGGGTTCGATGATCTTAAAGGTCCTTTCCAACCTAAATGATTCTATGGAGGAAGATTTTTCCATATACTTGTCTTGGATCACAGAGAGGTATAAAGCAAAAATATTTGCTTTCCTCACTGCCACAGTCTAAAAAAGAGGCCACTGCTTTATACTGCAGTTAATTAACAGTTGTTGTGGATGTTGTTAATGGTAGCAAGTGCAAGGAGCCAAAGTACCACTAGAATGGACGCAACTGTGTCCCAAAGCACTAGAGTTTTTACCAAAAAGTAATTGGAAATGTGGTTTCTTAGTAGTTCAGTATCTCTACTATTAAAATTAAATGAAAAAGAAAGTGAAAGGAGTTGAGGAAGTGGAGCAGTTGCCAGAAGAAAAGGGAGATTTTGAAATGGGAAGCTCTACAGCCTGTCAAAATGAGGTATTTATTCCCAGATGAGACACAAGATGTGGAATTGAGTTTCAGGTGGTAGTGATTGTTCAGAGCCATTTCAGAGTCAATACTCTCCTCAAGAATGTCCTACAAGAGGTCTGGTGTACACAACCCCTCACAGAGGTGGAAACCAGCAATGTGTTTTTTAACAACATCTTGAGTTTAAATAGACATATGCCAAATCTAAGAATTTTCATATTTGCCTCAGTTTTTAGTTACATCCTACAGGAAGTGAAACCCATCATCTGTAATGTGGAGCAGAGCTTCAAGCAAAATAACTACTTGGTAGGATTTCCAGTGTTGTCAGTGAGAAAGGATGTGGCCAAGCGGGTTTACCTTCCAGGTTCATGCTTGCCATGCTGCCTCTCTGAATCCTGTGGTCTCCCAAGGCAGCCCTCTTCCCCAGGACTGCAGTGGTTCCCCGGCTTTCTTACATACAGGGTTTGCTTTCCTGGTTGTAGTTCTACCTCATGAGGCTGAATTGCAGCCTTTTGATCTGTCAGTTTTTCCCATGGCTTCTCAGCCCCATTGAGGTGGTTATGTGAAAGGAGAGGAAGCCTCTGAGCCCCAGTGGCCTAGAGCCAAAGGGTGTGTTACCAGGTGTGATGATGCCCTTGCAACTACTCTGGCCCCATTCAGCTGTTCTGATGTTATGTTGGGAGGAAGGATGATTTCCCTGCTCAGAGCAGTGGGGGGTGGTTCTGCTCCCCAGCTGGGAACGCATTCTGGTTTCCCCCACCGGTCTCACTCACGCTTGCCTTCACGTTGTGAAGATCCTTGCCATTACCTGTGTCATTTTATTTTCCATGGTAGAGTTTGACAGGCCCAGTTAGTGTTTCACCACTGAAGAAGTTTTCACCACTGAAGACTGAAAAGTCTCTCTGTGCCACTACCTCTATTCGCCCTATCCCAGCGGGCAGGCAATAGCTCGTTTTCCCTTGCAACTGATTTCTGTTACCCGTTATGCATTTTGCTCTTGCAAATAGCGTGTTTTTTTTCCCCCAAAGCAATGTTTCATATCTCTTAACAGACCTAATTATGCTCTTTCCAGACCTTTCCACTCCACTATTTTTTCCCTCCTGTTGTTAAAGAAAGTAAATGAAAGCCAAAAGGTGTCTCCAGCTTCAAAAACCTTTAAAAAAAGGCATTTTGAGTTACTGTGTTCATGACAGAATTGTAATGTTGTTTTTCAGGTAAGAAGTAATTTCTTTATAGAAATAGATTCTTGATTCATTAATGGCTAAACCATTCTGAGGCCTTCAAAAGGCAAGTTCTGCAGCAACAGGGACTGCAGAGTACCTTCCCATTGCAGGTCAATACCAGTCCTTCAGTGATGATTTCAGAAAGTCGTGCATAAATAAGTCATAAAAAGACTTTTATACAAACTTAGATTTACAGTCATCAATTGAATAATCCAGTATGAGTCCCTCTTTTTACAGTTGTTGTTTTGTAAGTAAGCTAGTCATCCAAATGTGTTTGGGATTTAGAAATAATTTAGTGACTCATAAAAAGCTGGATGGGAGAAATGAACTGAAAGAGATGAACAGGAGAGATTTTTGAAAGTTTAGAACTTGCAAATCACTTTAGATAGTTAAATGGAATTGAGTAACTTTATTCACTGATAAAAAGCATTAAATCAAAATAATTGTAGCCAAGTGCAGAACAAGTTATAGTTCATGAACAAGTCAGGGTGATTAATTACAATGCCCTTAAAATTTACCAAATGCATTTCCTATGGGCCATTTACTGCTTTTGATGGTGTTCGAATTCTTTTGCTTAATAATTTTATGTCCATTTATCTTCTGGTGATTAGGAACTGAAGAGTCTGAATGCTAGCTTTCATTCCCTGCCATGGGTTGCAAAGTTGTAATGCTGTCCATTTTTTTAAAGAAATGTTGAAGTGCCCAATGAAATGTGTCTCATTTGCATAAATTATACATATTGCACTAAAACCAGCCCTGAAGAGCAGAGTGCAAGATGTGAAAGATGAAGTGAAATGAAGAAAAGAAATACCAAGACAAATAACATGTTTGCCTTGCTTTTTACACCGTAGCCTATAGTCCGAAGGCTCATGGATGGATTTACAGGTGACTTTAGTCAAAGCTTCAGCATTTGACAATGAGTTGCTGTAACATGTATAAATGGAGTTACTCAAATAACAAGGTAAACAAAAAATACAATAATAAAGTTTTTGTATGAACATGCTAAATTGACATTTCTGACACAATAACCATGTACTTGGTCCTTATTAGGTAACTGCGCCATCCATGTTACTAGCATTGTATTGACTCCTGTAATAGTAAAGGCAGCAATTATGTGCTCTAAACCGAGCTCATCAGTTTTCTTTTTCAAAGAAACCTTGAAGCTTTTGTATTTAACAGCAAGGGGAAACACCCACATTTTTTCCTAAGGCTTTATAGAGAAAGCAAATGTTAAAGACAGTAAATAATGAGCAAATTGTTCGAATGAGGCATCTATTTTAAAAGGGCTGTAAAAATACATAGTGAACACATGGAACTCAAAAAGTAAAAATGCTTCATATATTTCTCAAAGACAGCTGCAGAATTAATATCGTAATGATAGCAGCATTATGGAATAGGATTATCCTGAACTTAAGACAAACCCTTTACTCAGACTGAAACCCAACCACTGATGTAACTTTCTTGCTCAAGGGCATATTTATATGCACCATATGTGCAATTCTAAACGTTCACCTCCATGTGCACAGGCAGAAAGAAAAGTCCCAGTCAAGGCACTTTTGAATAACATATTTTTCACAGCTGCCCTCTGCAAAAGAGGTTTCTTAAATGTTTCTTATATTCAGCACACAAAATCTCTAATGACTCTAAAACTTGAATCACATAAATTTTTACGCACGTGGAAAGTAAAAGCAGCAGGGAACTATATTTGAAGGCACTCATTCCACCAGCATCCTGATGTTCTTCATTACAACAATATGTACAGGTCACAGTATTTGTGTAGGAACCTTGCTTCAGTCTTTATGCATGATGAATGAGGTCAGAGATCTACATATTGTATTGGTAAAAAGTTAAAAATGACTCTCGATGAAGCAGTTCCATTGTTGTTGTTTTTTTAAAAACTTACATTACTTTTCTGTAAGGACCTTAATAAATTCATGCAATAAATCAATGCAATCCATGCATTTGTTAACACCTCTTAAGTCTCTCTCTCATTGGACACTGTCCAGTATATACGAAGACAACCAAAATTTGTCCTTTTTTAATGGTGTAAGTCAACAGTAACTTATTTCAGCAGAACTCCTCATGACTCTTTGTTTTGGCACGTGCTGAGGCAGGCATGAGATTCTGCAGAAACAAGAGGTTGCTTATTGGAGGCAATCTTACTTAATGCATAGATAAAGTGTTAGCTTCAGCCTCTTCTTAGCCTTAGAGCTTAACTTCGAGTCTTTAACATTTTCTTCAGAGAAAACATTTCATAGCTTGGATGTAAAAAAATGACAGATACGAGATCCTCGCCGTTTTCTGCCGAAAATGGTGGGGAGGCAAGCTAGAACATCTGTGGGAGAAATATCTAAAGGAAGTGTCTGCATCTGATTATATATGAAGACAGAACTTCACTTCTGGAAATCAGCTGAAATGCAGGCAAATTGAGCAGTAA